CTAAATCCCCCCATTCCAATCCCATTTCCCCCTTTTTTTACCCCAACCCCCCCAACCCCCCTTTTTTCCCCAATTTCCCCCCATTTCCCCCCAAAATCCCTCTCAAATCCCCTCCCAACCCCCTCATTCCCACAAAAAAAAAAGGGGGAATTTGGGAGGGAAAATTTGGGGGGGGGGAATTTGGGGGAAAAAGAAAATAAAAAAGGTAAAATGGGGACAAATGAGGGGAAAAATGGGGGAATTTGTGGGGGGGGAAAGGGAGGAATTGGGGGAAATTTGGGGGAATTTGTCTCCTTTTACCTTCCAGCTGCTCTCGTCTTCCTTTTCATCCACCCCATTGTGGATGTAAACGACGTCGAAGAAGAAATAGGGGCACTGCAGCAGCTTCTGGGGGGAAAAAGGGGAATTTGGGGGCTTTGGGGGGAGATTTGGTGGGTTTGGGGGGAGATTTGGGGTGGAAATGGGGAATTTTGCGGCTGGCATAGGGGGATTTTGGGGCTGGCATGGGGAGATCTGGGGTGGAAATGGGGGGATTTTGGGGGTGGCATGTGGGGATTTTGAGAGTGGAAATGGGGGGAGTTTGGGTGGAAACGTGGGGATTTTGGGGGTGGCACAGGGGGATTTGGATGTCCCAGACCTTGATGTGCTCGCCCCTGCAGAAGTGGGGGATTTTGGGGTGTCACAGGGGGGATTTTGGGGTGTCCCAGACCTTGACGTGCTCGCCCCCACAGAAGTGGGGCTGGCAGCGCGGGCGCCCGAACACCAGGATGGTTCTGACCACGAAGGGCGGGGGGATGGTCTGGACATTGTCGGTCACCGGCAGCTCCACCTTCTGCTGGCTGGGATGGGGACAGGACAGGGTGGCACCCATGGGGACACAGACAGGGATGGGGTGGCACCCATGGGGACAGGACAGGGTGGCAGCCACAGGGACAGGGGACAGAGACAGGTGGCACCCCCAGGTCAGGGTGGCTGCCACAGGGACAGGGGACAGGGCTCGGGTGCCACCCCCCCAGCACCCTCCAAACCCCCCAGCACCCCCAGAACGTTCTGGAACCCTCCAGTGCTCACATGAGGTTGAAGAGCCCATCCAGATCTGAGCTTGGAGTCAAGGCTGGTCCTGGCACCTGTGACACCCCCAGGGCCACCCCCAGGGCCACCCCCAGGGCCACCCCTGGCACCCAAGACACCCCAATGCCACCCAAGGGACCCCAGTGGCACACTGGTGACCCCAGTGGCAAAAAAGGGATCCCCCCTGGCACCCAAGACATCCAGGACCCCCTGATGCCACCCAGGTGGCACCCAGGACACCCCAGTGGCACGGCAGGATACTGAAGGACTGGCACACGACAGTGTCCAGGTCGTAGAGGCAGCTGCAAACCTCACGTGGGTCTGACGTGAACCCTGAGAGCTGCGGGGGCACCAGGCTGGCACCGAGCTGGCACTGGCCCTGTGTCCACCCTGTCCCCTGTGCCCAGCTCTGTGCCCACCCCTGTCCCCACCTCTGTGCCCACCCCTGTGTCCCTCCCTGTCCCTTTGCCCTGTGCCCATCCCTGTCCCCACTGCCAGTCCCCTGTGCCCATCCCTGGCCCTGGCCCCACCCTGTGCCCGTCCCCTCCTGGCACCCCAGGCCCCCTCTCCCTGTCCCTCTCCCTGTCCCACCCCGTGCCCATCCCTGTCCTTGTCCCTGCCCGGTGCCCCCTGGCACCCCAGCCCCCCCTGTCCCCCCTGTGGCTGTGCCCGTGTCACCCACCCAGGTGGCATCGTTGTTCACCACCACCAGGGCGAACTCGTGGCTTTTGTCGATTTTGTGTTTGGTCCTGACGAACATCTCGATCATCTTCTGGGCCACCGTCAGGGCGTTGCTGCGGCACCTGCGGGGCACGGGCTCAGGGCACCCCAGAAACCCCAAAACACACAAACCCCACACACCACAAACCCCAGAGACACCACCAAACCCTGCCCAGCACCCCAAAAAGCACACAAATCCCAGAAACACCACAAACCCTCACCTGGCACCCCAAACACACCAGAAACCCCAGGAACCCACCCAGCACCCCAAAAACACCGCCTGGCAGCCCCTGGCACTGACCCATTGAAGGACTCCAGTTTGGGCACTGCCATCTCCTCGGCCAGGTCCAGGCAGATGATCTGGGGTGGGGGGGGGGCACGGCTGAGACCCCCGAGTGTCCCCAGGGACCCTCAGGATGTCCCCAGTCCATCCCAGTCCCTCGCAATCCCCTCCCAGTCCACCCCAATTCCCCCCCACCAATTCCCTCCCAGTCCCTCTCATTTCCCCACAATCCCCTCCCAGTCCTCCCCAGTCCCCTCCATCCCCCCCAGTCCGTCCCAGTCGCCCCGAATTCCCCCTTCCAACCCTTCCCAGTCCCTCCCACTCCCCTCCCAACTCCTCCCAGTCCCTCCCAGTCACTCACCACCTTCTCGGGGCAGTTCACCCGCGGTGTTCTGACGGTCACCTCGCCGTGCTGCCCGTGGCTGCCCGGGCCGTGCCAGGCCGTGCCAGGCTGCCCGGGGGGGCTGTGCCCGGCGCTGGCCGCCTCCCCCTCGCCCTCGCTGCGGTTCCCCGGAGCCTCTCCCCGGTTCCCCGGAGCCTCTCCCCGGTTCCCCGGGGCCTCTCCCCGGCTGCCCACGCTGCCTGGCCCGCTCGGGGCTCGGTCCTCGGCGCCTTCGGGGTTGGAGCGGGTGCGGGGCCGAACTTCTGGAACCTTCTCCTCCTCATCCTCGGCCGCGCTGCCCGGCTCCGACGTGTCCATCCCGAAACTGCGGGGCTGGCACCCCAAAACCGGGGGGTGTGCTGCGGCTGGCACCCCAAAATCAGCGGGTTTGGGGGTGCTGTGAGGCTGGGGCCCCAAACCTGGGGGTTCTCTGTGCCTGGGACCCCTAAAGTGGGGAAATTCCGGTGCGGCTGTGACCCCAAAATCAGTGGTGTCCCAGTGCGGCTGTGACCCCAAACCCGGGGGGCTCGGGGGGGGATCTCGCTGCGTGGGGAGGGGCTCCACAGACAGGGGGGTAGGAGGGGCAGGGGCTCCGCGGAGTTTGGGGGTTCCCCAATCACTCCCCCTCTCCACTCAGCCCCATTCTCGGATCCCCTTTCCCACGCCCCCCACCTTCCCACGCCCCTCCCCTGCCCCATTTCCCCCGCCCCACGCCCCCATCTCCTCCCTCCCTCCCTTCCTTCCCCATCCCCTGCCCCGCTCCTGTTCGCCCTCGACCCCCCAAAACCCGCCTGAAACCCCCAAAATCCCCCGAGCCCCCCGCGCTCACCGCTCACCGCCGCTCGGGCTCCGCCGGAAATGGCGCCGCGGGAGGGCTGCTGGGAGTTGTAGTCCCTTTGGGTGCCCCGCCGCCACCATGGGGATGACCCCCGGGCCCCGAACGCCTCGTCACGGCCCCGTCCCCTCACGCACCCCCTTCCCCACCTCCCTCCCGTTCGTGTTCGCCCGCCAGAGCCCCCGCGCTCACCGCTCAGGTCCGGCCCCGTTCCGTCGGAAGTGGTGCCGCACGGAGGCTGCTGGGAGTTGCAGTCCCCCTGGACCCCCGGCAAAGCCCCCGAACACCGCCCCCCGCCCCACGAATGCCGTTCTAAACCGTGCTGCGCCTCTGCCGCACCCCAAACATCGTGTGAACCCCCCCGAACGGCTTCCTGCACCCCAAATATCCCCGTGCACCGCCCTCTGTACCCCAAATGCTCGTGTTTTACCTTAAATATCCATGTGCACCCCCAAAACTGCTTCCCGCACCCCAAATGTCCACGTGCACCCCCCAAACATCCGCCTGCACCTCAAATATCGATGTCCGCACTCCATATACCCACCTGCACCCCAAATATCCACGCGCACCCTAAATCCCCGTGTACCCCCCCCCAGAACCGCCTCCCACACCCCAAATCCCACACCTCTCCACACCCCTCCCTCCCTCCCCGCACCCCAAATACCCTCCCAGCACCCCAAAACCAGCACCCTCCTACTTCTCACAGCACCCCAAAGCTCTCACAGCACCCCCAAATTCTCCTGCACATCCCAAAAGCGTTTTGGGGTCCCCGCCCCGTTGCAGGGGGTGCTCTGTGGGGTGAGGGTGGCACCGGCCTGGCACCGGGGAGGGCACAGCCACACGGGGGGCTGGGGCATTTGGGGGGGGTTGGGGTTTTTGGGGGGTTTTTGAGGGGGTTTTGGGGGGGGGCGAGCACCCCAAAAGGCCCCGCGGTGCCCCCCAGGCGGGGCAGCTGAACGGTTAAAGGAAGAGGAAATCCCGGCAGGAACACGGCCGGGGCCGGAGGCGCTGCCCGAGCTACCGGAGGTGCCGCGGGATAGGAGGGGACCGGGAGAGAACGGGGGGAACCGGGACGGAACAGGGGGAACCGGGACAGAATGGGAACCAGGGGGACCAGGACAGAACGAGAATGTGGGGGGAACCGGGGGGCACCGGGAGAGAATGGGAACCGGGACAGAATGGGGGGAACAGGGAGAGACCGGGAACTGGGACAGAACAAGAACCAGGGGGACCGGGACAGAACGGGAATGTGGGGAAACCGGGACAGAATGAGAACTGGGACAGAACGGGACCTGGGACAGAACGGGGGGAACCTGGGGGGACCAGGAGAGAATGAGGGGAACTGGTACAGAACGGGGACGTGGGGGAACTGGGACAGAATGGGGGGAACCAGGAGAGAACTGCAACTGGGGGGGACTGGGACAGAATGGGGGGAACTGGGATGGAACAGGGACAGAACGGGGATGTGAGGGGAACCGGGAGAGAACGGGAACCTGGGGGGAATGGGGATAGAACAGGGAATAGGGAGACAACGGGAACTTGGAGGGAACCGGGGGAGAACGGGAACTTTGGGGAACGGGGAGAGAACGGGAACCTCGGGATAGAGCGTGGCCTGCTGGGACCCTGGGGGGAAACTGGGGCTTACTGGGAGCCTGGGTGTGGAGCCAGGACATCCCGGAGCCCCCTTGTGGAACCGGGACGTGTTGGGACCCTCAGAGTGGAACCGGGACCTGCTGGGAGCCACGGGCAGGACGATCCCGGACCGCGGGCATGGAGGAGGTGAGGGGGCACTGTCCGTGCTGGGCACAGCGCGGGGCTGACCCCAAACGGGGCTGACCCCACCCGGTCCCGGGGCTCCTCGTGCCGCGCTCCGTGGTGGAATTCCCACTCCGGGCACCGGGATGGGGCCGGTGGCCCAGCGGGCCGGGCTGGTGGCCACAGCTCATCCCTGTGCCAGGAGAACCCGGTAGGTGCCACCCGCTCTGCCCCCGGGGCTGAACGGGGCACGGGCACCCCCACGGGCACCCCGGCCCGGCCCCCGCGCCAGGAGGAGGAGGAGAAAGCGGAGGAAGAGGATGAGGAGGATGACGAGGACGTGGCCAGTGACACCGAGGACATCCCGCTGCTGGCAGGGGCGGCCCCGCGACAGCAGCGGCGACAGCAGCGCCCCGCCAGGTACCGGCACCGGGAGAGCCACCCGCGGGAACACCGGGAACGAGGGGACACCGGGACCTCACCGTGCCCTTCCTCGCCCCGCAGGGCGGATGAGGACGGCTGGGAGGCCACCGCCACTGTCCCCACTGTCGCCGCTGTCAGCCCGGACGGTGAGCGCCGCCCCCCGTGCCACCACAGGTGCCACCGCCGCGCTGTCCCTGCCCTGACGGCGGCCGTGTCGCTGTCGCTGTCCCCAGTGCGCAGTCCGGATCTCTTCGAGCGCCTGCAGCACGCCGTGAGCTCCCTGGAGCGCGCCGCCTTCTCCCGCCGCCGGCAGCCCCCGGCGTGGCCGCCGCCCGTCCCGGCCTGGCACCGGGCGCTCCAGGTGAGCCTCGCCACGCCCGCGGTGCCTGCGGCGGCACGGCGGGCACGGACTGACCGGCCTGGCACGGGCAGAGCCTGCAGGAGCTGAGCCGGACACCGGGCTGGGCGCGCCGCTGCTGGCCGGAGGCGGCGGCGGGACCGGGGCCACCGGCGGAGGTGGGGGCGGCGGCGGCAAGGAACGCGAGCCTGCGGGCAGCCCTGGGCCAGCGGGATGAGGAGCTGGGCCAGGCCACGGCCGCGCTGCGGGCGCTGCGGGGCGAGCGGGAGCGCCTGCAGGGCAAGGTGGGTGCGGGACAGCGGGTGCCACCCTCGGGGTGTCCCCGGGTGCCACCGTCGGGGTGTCACCAAAGCGGTGCCGGTGCTGAGTCCCGTGTCCGGTTCAGGTGCGGGATCTGCGGGAGGCTCTGGCCAGGCTGGAGGAGCCGGGAGGGTCTGGCAGTGACACCCCCGGGACCGGTCACACCCTCGTGACTGGTGACACCTCTGGGACTGGCGACACCCCCGGGGTCGGTGACACCCCCGGGCCCAGCAGCCCCCCGGGGCACCGGGTGAGTACGGGGCTGGAGCACGGGGTGTTCCTGCCCTGGCACGGGGCTCTGGGGTCCCCTCCGCGCGATGTCACCCGGGGTGGTGGCGGTGCTCAGTCCCACGGGGTGCCGGCCCCCGGGATGACCCCCCCGGGCCGCTCCCCTCCATGTCGCCCCCTCCCCTGCAGCCCCGCGCCCCGCTGTCCCCCCAGCCCTCGGCGGGGCCCGGCCGGGAACAGGAGGAGCGGCTGCAGCAGCTGCAGGGGTGAGTCCCCCCCGAATCCCGAGTCCTCTCCAAACCCCGAGTCTCCCCCGAGCCCCGAGTCCCCCGAACACCCCTGGGGACACTGAGGCACGGCCCCGGTGCCCGCGGGCCCGCAGGGTGCTGGCGCGGCTGCAGGAGGCCAACCGGGAGCTGCTGGCGGCGCTGGGCGAGTGCAAGGGCGAGGCGGAGCGGCTGAGCATGGAGCTGGGCAGGCGGGAGGCGCACTGCAGCGGGCTGCGGCTGGCGCTGAGCTGCAGGTGGGACAGGAGACACGGGATGGGGACACAGGATGGGCACACGGGACAGGGGACAGGGATGGGGACAGCCCCACTGAGCTGCAGCGGGCTGCGGCTGGCGCTGAGCTGCAGGTGGGACAGGGGACACGGGAGGGGGGACACAGGATGGGCACACGGGACAGGGGACAGGGATGGGGACAGCCCCACTGAGCTGCAGCGGGCTGCGGCTGGCGCTGAGCTGCAGGTGGGACAGGGGACACGGGAGGGGGGACACAGGATGGGGACAGAGACAGGGATGGGGACACGGGATGGGGAAAGTTCCCTGAGACCCTCGGGACGGGGACCTGAATAGAGATAGGCATGGGATAGGATGGGATGGGATGGGATGGGATGGGATGGGATGGGATGGGATGGGATGGGATGGACAGGATTGATGGGATGGGGACAGGGATCAGGATCGGGACTAGGATCAGAATCAGGATGGGGACTCGGGTGGGGATAGGGACAAGGATGAGGAATGGGGACAGGGACTGGGCTGGGGACAGGGATGGGACAGGGTTGGGGACAGTCCCCCTGAGCCCCTTGTCCCCCAGCGAGCGCTGTGGGGGCGCCTACGCCGCCCTCCTGGACCTGGTGCGGGCAAAGGTGGCACCGGAGGGTGGCACCCATGGGGGTGAGTGACAGCGGGGGGACACAGGGGGCTGGGGGAGACTGAGGGAAACTGGGGGCTTATGAGGGGGGATGCTGGTGTGCTGGGGAGAATACTGGGAAGATACTGGGAAGTTATCTGGGAGGATACTGGGGGGATACTGGGAATACTGGGGGGATACTGGGGAGCAGTCAGGGAGGATGCCAAAGGGATGTGTAAGGTCCACGTGGGGGTACTGGGGCATGCACGAGGGATACTGGGAGGTACTGGAAGGACTTCGGGGGGATGCAGGGAGCTTGTGGGGCATCCCAATGCCCCCTACACCCCTTGCGGGCACTCCTGGGCAGCGGCACTGCCCGCACCGTGCCCAGGAACCGCGGCGGAACCGAGCCCGGGCCACGAACCGGGACCTGGCCCCGCCACACCGGAACAGAGCCCCGACCGCGCGCCCGGCCCCGGCCCCGCCACACCGGAGCCCCCGGGCCCAGCGGAGGCGGAGAGCCGTGAGGACCCCGCGGACAGCCCCGGGGCTCACAGGTACCGGGGGGCGCGGGGGTCCCGGCGCTGAGCCCCCCCCCCCCCCCCCGGGTGCCCCGTGCCCACCGCCGCCGTGCCCGCCCCGCAGCCCCCGGGGGATGGAGGAGGAGGGAGCGCTGCGGGAGCTCATCCGGCGGCTCCGCGCCGAGCAGGCGGCGGTGAAGGGGTCCCTGCTGGACGCCGCCGAGCTCTCGGAGCCCCCGCGGGAGCGCGACCTCCGGGGCCGGGCGGAGCGGGCGCTGCGGGAAGCGCGGGCGCTGCTGCCCGGCTGGAGGCGGCCGGAGAAGGAGGAACTGCTGCAGGAGCTGGCGGTGCTCAAGGTGGGTTGGGATCCTTCCCTAGATCCCTTCATGGATCCTTCCCTGGGACCCTCCCCGGATTTCTCCATCGATCCCTCCTTGAATCCTTTCCTGGATCCCTCCCCGGCTCCCTCCCCGGTCCCCCGCTGTCTCCCCGGCCGTGCCTCAGTTTCCCCGCGGTGCCAGGAGGCGCTGGCGGAGCTGCGGACGCGGCTGCAGCTGGCTCAGAAGGAGAAGCGAGCCCTGGAGCTGCTGCTGGCCGCGCACGGGCCCCGCGAGGCCGCGCTGCGCCTCCTGCTGCGGGAACGGGAGCGGGAACGGCACCGGGACGGGCGGGACGGAGCCTCCGGCAGCTCCGGCAACAGCTCTGGCAGCAGCTCCGGCAGCAGCTCCGAGGAGGTAGGGATGGATCCCGTGGGGCTGTTCCTGGGGTTTGGGGGATGCCGAGGGATGGGAGACAGCCGGAAATCTCTGCAGGAGGCGCGGATGGGGCGGGGGGCGGCGATGGCCCCGGGGAACCCCCCGGACCCCGAGAGAACGAGGGAGGAACTGCTCCGGATCCGGGCCAGGTGAGGGATGGGAGCTGTGGGGGATCGGGAAATGTGTGGGGTTGGGAATTCTGTGGGGTCAGCAACTGTGTGGCATCGGGAACTGTGTGGGATCGGGAATTGTGTGGGATTGGGAATTCTGTGGGGACGGGGAATGGTGTGAGACTGGAATTGCGTGGAGTTGGGAATGGTGCTGTGCGGGCTGGTGGGGCGGGCTCGGGGTGGCCCTGGTGACACTGCCCCGTGTCCCCAGGACGGAGCAGCTGCGTGGCCGTGCCCGGGAGCTGGCGCTGGCCCTGGAGCAGGGCAGCGCTGCCAGCCGTGCCCAGCAGGGGCACAGTGCCACCGTCACCCTGGAGCTTCTCCAGGCGCACAGGTGGGCACGGGCCGGGTCCCTTGGGTGTCCCTGGGTCCCCTCGGTTCCCTCCGTCCCCCTGACTCCCTGGAAGCCCTGACTCCCCTCATCCCCCTGGCTCCCTAAATCCCTGGCTCCCTCAATTCACTAAATCCCTAAATCCCAAAATTCACGGCTCCTCCTCATGCTCCCAGCTCTTCCAACTCTCTGACTCCCTAAATCCCCAAATCCCGGGCTCCCCTGGATCCCCGGGCTCCCCTGGATCTCCCAGCTCCCCTGACTCCTTAAATCCCTAAATCCCCATCTCCCCCGATTCCCTAAATCCCAAAACCTCCGGCTCCCCTGGATCCCCTGGCTCCCCCAGCTCCCTGACTCCCTAAATCCCAAAATCCCCCGACGCCCCAAACCCTCCGAGCTCCTCCCATTCCTCGGCTCCCTAAATCCCCAAACCCCCCAAACCCCCTGCTCCCCCTGGGTGCCCCCAATCCCCTGACGCTCGGTGCCCGCAGCTCGCTGGCCCTGGCGTACCGCGGGGCGCGGCGCAAGCAGGCGGAGCAGCTGCGGCGGCTGCAGGCGCGGGCGGCGGCGCTGCGGGGCCAGCACGGCCGCAGGGAGCGAGCCCTGGCCCGGACACTGCGGGAGCTGGAGCGAGGAGGCGAGACCTGCATCTAAGGAGCCCCGGAAATCCCTGGGGAAACTCGGAAATTCATGGGGAGCCCCGGAAACCCCTGGGGAAATTCGGAAATCTATGGGAAAACTCGGAAATCCCTGGGGAAACTTGGAAAATCATGGGGAAATTCGGAAATCTTTGGGGAAATTTGGAAATCTATGGGGAAATCTGAAAATCTGTCTGGTGTCCGTGTCCAGTGTCCATGTCCGTGTCCGGGGGCCCGGCTGACCCCGGGGTCGGAGGTCAGGGCTTGGCCCCTTTTGAGATTCAAATTCGCTTTGTGCGGGGTCAGGGCCCTGTGACAGGCGGGGCCACCTCGGGGCTGGGGACAGCAGGGGACACAGCGGGTGGCACCGGACACGGCAGGTGGCACCTGGCGCTGGCACCTCCCCCCGCCACGTCCCCCATAGCCCCTGGCCACCGCAAGTCCCTGGCTGGTGCCTCAGTTTCCCCCTGGAAAGGTGGAGAAGTCAGGTCAGCCCCGGGGATTGTCCGGAGGTGTCACCATCACCGCTCCTTGGGGTGACACTGGGGACGTGGGGGGGTGGCAATGTGGGGACAGTGAGGCTTGAATGCCCAGAGTGGCTGAAAATCAGGGATTTGACCCCAAAATGCTCCATTTCACTCATGGGACATCGGGGGACAGAGGGATGGGGTGGAACCAGTCCAATCCCGATCCAATCCCAGTCCAATCCTGATCCGATCCCAGTCCAATCCCAGCCCAATCCAAATCCAATCCCAAATCCACACTGGGGATCCCCAGGTGATTTCACCCACTGAAAAAAATCCAGGATGATTTTTAGGATCTTTCTCTGACCCCCCACCAAGGCTGGGTTTGTCCATTAGGAAGGATCTGGGATGATTTTGGGGATCTTTTCCTGCTTTTCCACCATCCCCAACCCCATCCCCATCCTCCACACCCCACCAGAGCCCCAAACCATCCCGAAGCCTCTGGAGCTGCCGCTGAGCCCAAAAAGGAGCCCAGAAAAACATCGGAGCCTTCCCGGGGCCCTTTTGTGGGGCGGGAGCAGCAGAGCAGAGCGAGGAGCAGGAGGAGGAGGGGTGGGAATGGGAATTCTTCGGGAATTTGGGAATTCAGGAACTGGAATTCCTCCGGAGATCAAACATCAAAACAAACCCAGATCCCATTTCCACCTTTGTTCCTGGATTGTTATTTTGGGGGGTTTTGGGGGGGTTTGGGTTGGTTTTTTTCCAGGGAATCCCAGGCCACAAATCCCAGCCTGGCATGGGTGAAGGGCGGGGGTGACCCCACTGGGCCTGGATTGGGATCCCCCAAAACCCAGCCCCATTCCCAGCTGGGGTTCCCAGGGCTTGTCCCATGATCAGGGGAACTGGGATCCCCTAAATCCAGGGAACTGGGGCACCCCACTCTTGGGGACATTGTGGGGACAGGGGGACTCTGTGGATTGGGATCCCTCAAAAGCCAGTCCCATTCCCAGCTGGATTTTCCAGGGATTGTCCCATGATTTGGGGAACTGGGATCCCTTCAGAGCACCCTAAATCCAGAGAATTATGGCACCCCACTCTTGGGGACATTGTGGGGACAGGGGATTGGGATCTCCCAAAGCTGACCCCATTCCCAGCTGGATTTTCCAGGGGTTATCCCATGATTTGTTTGGCTTTAGGATCAAACCCCTAAATTCAGGGAATTCAGGGTTTAATTCCATTTATGGCCATCTCTGCTGCACCCCAGTTCCAGGTTTAGCTTCACTTTTCCCTAAACCCCGAGCCAGAACCCAGATCAGGAACTCCAAGGTCGATCCCAGCCTGGCACCTTGGGGACACTGCGGCGTTTTTGGGGTCACTTTGGGGACTTTGCCCCATAAGTGCCCGGGGCAGGGCGGGGTGCCGGGGTCAGGCACCTTTTCCTGCTGGGATTATCCCGATTATCCCGGGTTAATGATTTCCAGGAATCCCAGCACCCACCGGGAGACGGGTCCAACTGGATCGACCGCATTGCAGCCGCATTTATGGGGCCGCAGGACCTTTGGGGCCACAGGGACTTTATGGGGCTGCAGGGACCTTTTGGGACCATGGAGGTTTATGGGGCCACAGGATTTTGTCCTGGTGCAATGTGGGGTTCCCAGTACAACACCAGTTTGATACTGGGATCCCAGCTAGATCCTGGAATCCCAGTTCCAGTGCCAGGCTCCCAGTTTGACCCAGAATCCCAGTGATCCCAGGGTGATCCTGGAATCCCAGTGATCCCATTTTGATACCAGATTCCCAGTTCCGTGCTGGGGATCCCAGTGCCACGTGGGGCTCCTGTCGCAGTGCCAGGTTCCTGGCACACTGTGGGGCTCCCAGTTTGATCCAGGAACCCCCGAGCCGTGCCAGGCCCCCGCCTGGACCCCGGGATCCCAGTTTGATTTGGGATCCCAGTGCCAGGCTCCTAGTCTGATCCCGGTTTCCCAATCTGATCCCAGTTCCCCAGTCCCATCCCTTTTTCTCAGTTTGATCCTGGTTTCCCAGTCTGATCCTGGTTTCCTGGCCCCATCCCGGTTTCCCAGTTTGATCCCGGTTTCCCAGCCCCATTCCGGTTTCCCGGTCCCATCCCGATTTCCCAGCGCTCCCGGTGCCGGCCGAGCCCCGGGCGTGCCCGAACCGCCGCGGGGGCCCGGGAAGGGCCCCGGCCGCCGCCTCCGGTGCCGAACCGCGCTCGCCATCCCCGCTCCCCTCGCTCCCTCCGGCCCCGCTGGTCCCGGTGGCCCCGCTGGTCCCGGTGGCCGTTCCCGACCCGCGGAGCGCGGGGGGCGTGGAGCGGCCCCGGTGCGGCGGCGGCGGCGGGGCCGGGACCGGGGCAGGACCCGGGAGCGGAAGGGGAGGAGGCCGGGGAGGAGCATCCAGGGCGGCCACCGCGGCAGCGGCTGAACTTTGCTCTTTCACGGGAGGCGGGGAGAGCCCCGGGGCTCGGCGGAGCCGGTCCCGCCGCACCCGCAGCCGCACCGGCACCGGGCTGCGAGCGGCGGCGGGGCCCGGAGAGCGGCGAGGGCGAACCGGGGCAGCGCCGCCTCCTTCCTCCTCCTCCTCCTCCTCTTCTCCTCCTCCTCCTTCCAGCCGGTGCCGCGGAGCGCAGGAGCCACCGGGGGCGGGAGCGGCCCCGCATGCGGCCGGTGCCCGCGGGGGGATGCGCCGCGCCCCGGCCCCGCCGCCGCCGCCGCCGCAAACTTTCCGCGGGGCCGTGAACCGGCAGGAGGAGGAGGAGGAGGAGGAGAGCGACAAATCCCTGAGGGGGCGACCCCAAAAAAAAACCTGAAAAAGAAAAACTACCCCAAAAAGCGGAGCTTTTCCCAGCCGGCGGTTCCTCGGTAAAACTTACCGAACTCGGCGCGGGGAAGCACCGGGAGGGGAAGAACCGGGAGGAGAAGAACCGGGAGCAGAACCGGGAGGGGAAGAACTGGGAGCAGAACCAGCACCGGGAGGGGAAGAACCGGGAGAAGAACCGTGAGAAGAACCGTGAGGAGAAGAACGGGGGGAAGAACCAAGAGCAGAACCAGCACCGGGAGGGGAAGCACCGGGAGCAGAAGCAGCACCGGGCAGAGAAGAACCGGGAGCAGAAGCAGCACCGGGAGGAGCAGCAGCACCGGCAGGCTCCGCTCGATGCGGCGCTGAGCCCCCGCGGCCCCGCGGAGCCATGGCCATGGTGGCCGGCGCTTGGGGCGAGCCGAACGGTGGCGGAGCCGGTGGCACCGGGGGCGGCGGCGGCGGCGGCGCGGAGGAGGCGGCGTCCCCCGGCGGCGGCGGCAGCGACGCGGAGCACGGCGAGGAGGAGCGGCCCGGGGCCGGCGCGGACTGCGTGGTGTGCGGGGACAAATCCAGCGGGAAGCACTACGGCGTGTTCACCTGCGAGGGCTGCAAGAGCTTCTTCAAGCGCAGCATCCGCAGGAACCTCAGCTACACCTGCAGGTGACAGCGGGGGGACAGCGGGGGATCCCGGCTGGGGATGAGTTGGGGTCTCGGTGTGGTGGTGCTGGGGGTGTCCCAGTACAAACCAGTGGCCCTCAGTACAGCACGAGGGTCTCCCAGTACAAACCACTGGGTTCCAGTAGAACACGCGGGTCTCCCAGTACAGCGCGAGAGTCTCCCAGTACAAACCAGTGGCTCCCAGTGCAAATGAGGGGTCCCCAGTGCAGCTCGAAACGGCGCTCCCAGTTCAGCCCAGGGGCTCCCGGTTCAGCTGAGGTTTCCCCCCAGCCCATCCCAGTATCCCCCAGTCCATCCCAGTATCCCCCAGCCCCGGCTGTCCCCATTCCCGGCATTCCAGGTCCATCTCCCGGCATTCCCAGTCCATGTCGGTCCATTCCCGGTCCATTCCGGTCCATCCCGGTGTTCCCGCGGTGCCCGTGAATCACCCCGGGCACGGCCGGGATCCAACGGGAGCCGCGGGAATGCCGGGAGCACCGGGAACACCGGGGTGGACTGGGATGGACCGGGAACACCGGGATCCAGCAGGAGCAGGATCCTCTGGAATACCGGGGGCAGCGATCCACCGGGATACCGGGACCGGGGAGCCTCTGGAATTCCGGGATAATGGGAGCAGGGAGCCTCTGGAATTCCAGGATACGTGGAGCAGGGAGTCCCTGGAATTCCAGGATAATGGGACCGGGGATCCTCTGGAATTCCAGGATACCGGGAGCAGGAATCCCCTGGAATTCCAGGATACCGGGATCTCTGAGGAATCCAGGATGGGATCTCCAGGAATTTCCAGAGTTTGGAACAAGGGAGTTCTCAATCCCAGGCTGCTCCTGGAGGGTGGAATTCCCAAATTTCTGAGGGTCCCCATTCCCTCATCCCAGCTCACGGACGGCTCTGGAATTTTTGGGAGGAGGGAAAAGGATTGGAAATCATCCAGGAGCCATTGGATCCAATCTCGGCAGGAATAGGCTCCAGATCCTAAAAAATCCTGGATTTTGGGAAAAGTTCCCCTGAAATTATCCCAGATTTTTTTTTTCCAGTTGATAAAACCACCAGGATAATTCCTCGAATTTTGGGAAAAGCTCCTAAAATTTTAATGGATTTTTTTCCCAGTGGATAAAATCAACAGGATAATTCCCACTATGCCTGTGGAATTTTGGGAAAAGCTCCCAGAAATATCCCGGATTATTGCCAATGAGCAAAATCACTTGGATGATCTCACCACAGCCTTGGAATTTTGGGAAAAGCTCCCCAAAACTCATCCCAGATTTCTCCCAGTCCCAACAGGAATTCCCTCAATCCCTCCGCAGCTGCCGGAGTGGCACAGGCCAGAATTCCCAGCTGGAAAACCTTCCCAAAAAATCCTCCTGGATTTTTTTCCCAGTGGATAAAACCACCTGATTAATTCCTTGGAATTTCGGGAAAAGCTCCGCAATTTCCTCCTGGATTTTTCCCAAGAGCTGAACCCTCCCCCAGCATCGGGAAAACCTTTCCCAAAAATCCCCTCTGGAGTTTTCCAATGGGATAGGAGGCAGCGAGCTGGGAAATTTGGGAAGCTCCGAAAGGCCCGGGCTGTGCTAATGACTTAATTAGGGCGGGTAATTAGCGGGAGCGATAATTAAAGGCATTTTGAATATGCAAATGAGCTCGGGGCCGCTTTGGATTCCCAGAACAAAAGCGGGAACCTGGAGCTTTGTTCCACTGGAAAAGCCAAAAATTCCCAAGTCACTTCCTGGCTTTTGAAATTAAAAAAAAAAAGGGGGGAAAAACCTTTGGATTTTTCCTTTTTGGATTCCGGCCTGTGCCGCCCCTGGAGCTGGGGAGGAATTGAGGGAATTCCTGCTGGGATTGGGAGAAATCTGGCAAGAGTTTTGGGGAGCTTTTCCCAAAATTCCAAGGAATTACCCAGGTGGTTTTATCCACTGGGAAAAAATCTGACATAATTTTTGGGATCTTTTCCCAAAATTCCAAGGAATTATCCATTGGGGAAAAACTAATCCAGGATAATTTTGGGATCTTTTCCTGCTGCTCCCAGACCTTGGTGGCTCCCCTGGATATTTTCATCACTGGAAAAAAATATTCCGGGATAATTCCCATTTTTTTCCCAGTTCTTCGAGCCTTTCCCGATCGTTTTCTGGGAATTCAGGCCTGGATGAAGACATCAGGGCCGCTCCTGATCCTGCTTTTCATCGGGATCACGTTCCCGGCCGCGCCGGGGATGTTGAAGATGAATTAATTCCGTGTTGGGATTCCGGAAGGTTCTGTGGCGGGATTCCCGCGGCTCCAGCCCTGGAATTCATCCCAAATTCTCTTTTCCCGCCCTGATTCTGGCTAGGAAGGGATGTCCTGCTCTGGGATCAGCCTGGGAATGGGATCTGGGGGGTTGGATGGGAGATTCCATGTGGGAGTGGGAGCCAGGAGCCCTTTTCCAGGGATTTTGGGAATTTGAGGAATTTTGGGATGAATCCATCCTTTTGCAGGCTCTGAGGAATTTGGGGAATTCTCTCCCTTTATCCCAGAATCCTGTGGGATTTGGGGTCAGCACTGCCTGAGAGATTTCAGGCCCAACCCCACAGGAAATTCCTGGAATTCTTTGGAATTCCTGGAGCTGCATCCATGGGCTCACCAACAATTAAATCCCAAAACCGTTTCCAGACATGGCAGGGATCAGGATGAAAATCAGTGGGATTTTTTGGGATCAGGATGAAAATCCAATGGGATTTTTTGGGATCACCATGAAAAAAACCCCATCAGCAACGACCATCTCAATAAAATCCCATAAAAATTGGGGAATGGGCTCTGGGATTCCTGGGATGGATTTGGGGGGGCTGAAATTCCTGGGAATTCTGGCTGATCCCAATGATTCCTGCAGGTCCAACCGGGACTGCCAGATTGACCAACACCACCGGAACCAGTGCCAGTACTGCCGCCTCAAGAAGTGCTTCCGAGTGGGCATGAGGAAGGAAGGTAGGGAAAAAATTCCCAAGGAATCCCAGGAATTCTGGGAATCCCCAGGTTTTGGGGGAAAAAACCCTAATTCTTTCCTATTTTTTGTGGATTTTTTTTTGATTTTTGGGGGATCTGTGTGAGGTCAGGATGAAAATCCAGTGGGATTTTTTAGGATCAGGATGAAAATCCAGAAGGTTTCTTTGGTATTGGGATGAAGGTCCAGTAGGACCTGATTGGGGTCAGGATGAAGATCCAGTAGGATCCGTGTGGGATCAGGATAAAAATCTGGTGGGATTTTTTGGGATCGGAATGAAAATCCAGTAAGATCCATGTAGGATCAGGATGAAGATCCAGAAGGATCCGTGTGAGATTGGGATGAAAATCCGATGGGATGTTTTTGGATTGGGATAAAAACCCAGTAGGATCCATGTAGGATCAGGACGAAGATCCAGTAGGATCTGTGTGGGATCAGGATGAAAATCTGATGGGATTTTTTGGGATCGGGATGAAAATCTGGTGGGATCATTTGGGTTTACCATGCAAACCCAGTAGGATCCATGTAGGATCAGAATGAAGATCCATGTAGGATCCATGTGGGGTTGGGATAAAAATGTGGTGGGATTTTTTGGAATGAAAATCTAATGGGATTTTTTTTGCTCACCATGAAAACCCCAACCTTCCTCCCCCTCCAGCTGTGCAGCGGGGCCGAATCCCCCCCAGCCACTCCAGCAGCAGCCCCAACCCCCTCCCAGCCGGCGACTTCTTCAACGGGCAGCCGGTGTCGGAGCTGATCTCACAGCTGCTGCGCGCCGAGCCCTACCCGGCGGCGCGCTACGGCTCGCAGTACGCGCAGCAGCAGCAGCCGCCGGGCAGCGTCATGGGCATCGACAACATCTGCGAGCTGGCCGCCCGCCTGCTCTTCAGCACGGTGGAGTGGGCGCGAAACATCCCCTTCTTCCCCGAGCTGCCCGTGTCCGACCAGGTGGCCCTGCTGCGGCTGAGCTGGAGCGAGCTGTTCGTGCTGAACGCGGCGCAGTCGGCGCTGCCGCTGCACATGGCGCCGCTGCTGGCAGCCGCCGGCTTCCACGCCTCGCCCATGTCGGCAGAGAGGGTGGTGGCCTTCATGGATCAGATCCGGGTCTTCCAGGAGCAGGTGGAAAAGCTCAACCGGCTGCAGGTGGACTCGGCTGAGTACAGCTGCCTCAAGGCCATCGCGCTCTTTACGCCTGGTGAGGGGCTGGGGGCAGGTGGGAGGGACTGGGGTTTTCCTGAGGGTTTTTGGGGTTGGGGATGGGTAGGGAGAGGTTGTTCTGAGCATTTTTCTGAGGGTTTGGGGGTTCTGGGAGTGAGTAAGGAGAGGTTTTCCTGTGTTTTTCCAAGAGTTGGTGGTTGGATCTGTCTGAATTTGGGAATGAACAGGGGAAGGTTTTTGTGGGTTTATCTGAGGGTTTGGGGACTTGAGATTTTGAAAGATTCCTAATGGATTTGAGGATATTCTCAATGGATTTGGGGATATTCCCTATAAATTTCAGGATATTTCTTTAAATTTTGGGATATTCCAAATGGATTTTGGGATATTGGATTTTGGGGTATTCCCAATAGATTTTGAGAGATTCCCAATGGATTTTGGGAGATTGGATCTGAGGATATTCCCAATAGATTCGGGGATATTCCCAATGGATTTTGGGGATACTGGATTTGGGGACATTCCCAACGGATCCCATGCCACCCCCCCCACATCCAACCCCTCTCCGTTCCCTCGCAGATGCCTGCGGGCTGTCGGACCCGGCGCACGTGGAGACGCTGCAGGAGAAGGCGCAGGTGGCGCTGACCGAGTATGAGCGCTCGCAGTTCCCGTCGCAGCCGCAGCGCTTCGGGCGGCTCCTGCTGCGGCTGCCCGCGCTGCGCGCCGTGCCCGCCGCCCTCATCTCACAGCTCTTCTTCATGCGCCTGGTGGGCAAGACGCCCATCGAGACCCTGATCCGCGACATGCTGCTGTCCGGCAGCACCTTCAACTGGCCCTACGGCGCCGGGCAGTAGGGACGGATGGACGCATGGACACACAGACGGATGGCAGGATGGATGGATGGACGCATGGACAGATGGGCAGTGGGACGGATGGATGGACAGTGGGACGGATGGACAGTGCGACAAGTCGGACAGATGGACAGATGGACAGCGGGATGGGCCGGAGAACAAGATGGACCCGAAAATGGGATGGGCCAGATAATGGAACAGGCTGGACAGTGAGATGGGCTGGACAATGGGATGGGATGGACAACAGGACAGGCCGGATAATAGGGATGGGCCAGACAATGTGATGGACCAGACAATGGGACGGGCTGGACAATGTGATGGACGGACAACGGGACAGGCTGGACAATGGGACGGGCTGGACAATGGGATGGGCTGGAAAATGGGATGGGCCAGACAACAGGACAGGCCGGACAACGGGATGGGCCAGATAATAGGGACAGGCTGGACAGTGAGATGGGCCAGACAATGGGCCGGACAGACAGCAGGATGGGCCTGACAGTGGAATGGGCCAGAGAACAGGACGGACACTCCCCAGGAAGGGAACTGGGATTCTGCACAATGCCGGCGGCTCCTGGCCCTGCCGGAATGGGGGTGCACCCTCGCGGGTTGTGCCTGCAGAGTTGTGGGGTTGGCACCAAAGGTTTTGGGGTCCTGGCATTGTCACAGGAATTTGTGGGGTTCCAGCATTGTCCCAAAAAGTTTTGGGGTATTGAGGTTGTCCCCAAAAGAGATCCCAGTGTTGTCCCAAAACGTTTTGGGGTCCCGGCCTTCTCACCAGAAGTTTTGGGGTCGTGGAGTTTTCACCAAAGGTTTTGGGGTCCTGGTGTTGTCTCCAGAAGAGGTCCCAATGTCATCCTCAAATTGTCCCCAAAATTTTGGGGTCCTGGAATTGTCCCCAAAAGTTTTGGGGTCCTGGAAGTCCCAATGTTGTCCTCAAATTGTCCCTGAATGTTTTGGAGTCCTGGCATTGTCCCCAAAGGCTTTGGGGTCCTGGTGTTGTCCCCAAAGACTTTGGGGTCCTGGTGTTGTCCAAAATGGTTTTAGGGTCCTGGCATTGTCCCCAAAAGTTTTGGGGTCCTGGTGTTGTCACCAAAGGTTTTGGGGTCCTGACGTTGTCCCCATAAGTTTTGGGGTCCCGGTGTTGTCTCCAAAAGAGCTCCTAGTGTTGTCCCAAATAGTTCTGGGGCCCTGGCCTTGTCCCCAGGGTCTTCCCAAAGATGGAGGGGACACACAAGGAACACAGACCCCCCCCCCCCCCGAGACTGTCGTCCCCGGCTGGCACCAGGATGAGCCAGGATTTCGGACTTCAGGATTTGGGATTTTGGGATTCTGGGACCATACCCGGCCGATGGAATCCTCACTCCGCCATATAAACTCATTAATTAATGCCAATTAAAGATGTTTCCTACAACTCCGGCGGTCTGGAATGAGCCAACATTTGGGATTTTGGGATTTGGGATTTCAGTATTTTGGGATTTGGAATTTCAGGATTTTGGGATTCCAGGACCATTCACCGATTGGAATCCTCACTCCACCATATAAACCCGTTAACTAACACCAATTAAAGACATTTCCTACAATCCCAGGGTCTGGATTTGGGATCTAGCAGCAAAATTGGAACTGGGGAGATCAAACCCACCCCAAAAATAGGGAACATTCCATAAAAATCCTGAAATTGGGATTTTTTTTTTTGGGGGGTGGATTAGGGATTTCAGGGGTTCTTCTTCAGTTTGGGGTTTTTTTTGAGGAGGGGGAAATTTGGGATTTGGGTGATTTGGGTTTCTCTTCTCAAGATTTGGGATTTTTCTTCCTAAACAGAGATATTTGAGATTTCCTTCCTAAAGTGGAGGGATTTGGGATTTCCCCTCCAAAACTGGGAGGGGTTTTGGAGTCCCCTCCCAAATTTAGGGGAATTTCAACCTTCTCATTTCACCCTGACCCCAAATGAAAATCAACAATTACACTTAATTTATTACAAAACAATTAAAATATTACACGATTCCCACAGATCCCACCAATTCCCTACAAAATATTTTGGGATTTGGGTCGTCCTTCCCCCAAACAAAAAACCCCAAAAAGGTTTTTTTTGGTCCCCAAACCCCAATTTGGGACCCCCAAAACCCCTTTAAGGCAGCCCGGGGAGTGCAAACCCCATAAAAAACCCTATTTACAACCAGGGGAAGGCACTGGGGGGGAGTCCCAAAGGGTGTGGGGACATTTGGGGACATCTTGGGGTGGGGGGGGGGAGGGGGGGTCACACCAACAGCTGCCATCATCCCCCCCCCACCCTTGGCACTGGGGAGGGCTCAAAACGAGAAATTTTGGAATATTTTAAGACAAAAAAAGGCACAAAAGTCTTTGGAGGGGGTTGGGGGGGGGGTTGGGGTGTCCCCCCTACAAATGTCCCTTTTTTTTTGGGGTGGTGGCTTTGGGGTCAGCCCCGGAGCTTGTCGTAATCGCTGACCATCCTTTTGATGTGGAAGAGTTTGTTCCGGAGGGTTTTGGATTCCCGCTTCTTGTCCTGGTATTCCGGGCTCTGGGAAGGCATTTGGGGACTTTAGGAGATGTCTGGGGACATTTTGAGGATATGGGGGATGTCGCCAAAGAGGGAGGCAACCCTAAAAGTCAGGCCCGAGAACTCACCCGCTTCACGTCCTTGAGGTGGTTGTACTCCTCGGCCAGCGCCTGCAGGGACAGAGGGGTCAGGGACAGAGGGGTCAGGGACAGAGGGGACAGGGGACAGGGACAGGGGAGACGGGGGGACAGGGACAGAGGGACAGGGTACAGGGACAGGGGATGGGGGGGACAAAGGGGGCAGAGGGAAGAGGGAGAGGACAGAAGGACAGCGGAATCAGGGACAGGGGACACAAGGACAGAGGAGACAGAGGGACAGAGGGGACAGGAAGGGACAGAGGAACGGGAGGGGACAGGGACATGGAAGGGATGGGGGGGACAGAGAGGGGACAATAGTGGGGAAATGGGGGAAGAAATAAGGGGGGAGTGGAGGTGAAAAAGGGGTCAAAAAGAAGGAAAAAGGGATGAAAAGGGGCACCAAGGGTGGTCTGGGGGTAAGCAGGGGCACACCTGGTACTGGGCGCTGTCCTCGGGCACCTGGTCCAGCTGTGCTGCCAGCTGTGCCAGGCGCTCGTTGAGCCCATCCATGTGGGCACAGAGCTCCTTGTAGCGCCGCAGCTCCTGCCCAAAATCCGCCTTGTAGCGCTGGCGTGTGCCTGGGGAGCTGATCGGGGGGTACAGCCTGCAGGAGGACATGGGGACATCACTGGGGACATGGGGGTATTGGGGACATCGGGGATATTTGGGATATTGGATATGGGATATGGGGACATTGGGGACATTGGATTTGGGATATGGGGACATTGGAGACATTGGGGACATTGGGATTTGGGATATGGGGACATTGGGGACAGTGGATATGGGATATTGGGACACTGGGGACAGTGGATATGGGATATTGGGACATTGGGGACATTGGGACATTAGATATGGGATCTGGGGACATTGGGGACATTGGGGATATTTGGGCCATTGGATTTGGGATATGGGGACACTGGAGACATTGGGATATGGGGACACTGGGTGTGGGACATGGGGGCACTGGGGACACGGGGACACCAGACACAGAGACCCAGTGACTCGCGCTGTCCCTGAGTGTCACCTGTGCCACTGCTCGCTGTCACGCTCGTCACTGGACTCAGGGGCGGTGGCGGGGTCGGTGTCGTACTGGGAGCCCTGGGAGCCCTGCGAGCCCTCGGGCTGGCGCCGGCCCCGGCGGCCGCGGCGGGCGGGGGGCTTGTGGGGGGCATGGGCGGCGTCCGGCTCCTCCGAGGGCGAGGGGGGGTCCGAGGGGGGGTCACTGGTGGGACACGGGGACATCGGACACGGGGACACGGCCCTGGGGGTGCACAGGGAGATTCCCCCTTTCCCGACCCCTCAAATCCTTCCCCACCCCTTTCCAGACCCCTCCCCTGATTTCCCAACCTCTCCACCCTTTCCCGACCCCTCCCACATCCCCCAAACTTTCCCGCCCCTTTCCAGACCCCTCCCCATATTACCCACCTCTTTCTCTCCCCTTCCCACTTTTTCCACCCCTCTCCCGACCCTTCCGCATATTTCCCCACCCCTCCTCACCTCTTCCTCCCTCTTCTGCCCCTTCCCCATTTTTCCCACCCCTTTTCTGACCCCTCCCCAAATTCCCTGACCCCTCCAATCTTTTCCCGCCCCCTCCCCATATTCTCCACATTCCTCATCCCTTCCCCTGGCGCTGCCGCCCCCTCCCCACCTTTTCCAGCCCTTCTGGGGGGTGTCGCTGTACAAGGGGGGGCTGTAGGGCGGGGCCGGCCCGGGGGTCCCGCCCTTCTCCGAGTACGCGACGGTGGCGGCCTCGTCAGGAACGCTCGTCCCGCCCGACACGTTTTTCACCTGGAAAAAGGGATTTGGGATTTTGGGGGAGAACTCAGCTGGGATAAAGGAGAAGCCGGCGAGAAACGTCCCGAGAAATTTGCGAGGGAATTGGCCCGAAATTCCCGGAGAAATCTCTGAAAATTCACCGAGAAGCACTCAAAAATTCCCTGAAAATTGTCCGAGAAATCCCTGAAAATTCACCGAGAAACCACAGAAAATTCCTTGAAGATCCACCAAGAAATCCCTAAAAATTCCCTGAAAATCCACCAAGAAACCCCAGAGAATTCCCTGAAAATTCACCAATAAATCCCTGATAATCCCACAAGAAATCCCTGAAAATTCCCTGAGAAATCTGGCAGAAAGTCCACGGAAACCAGGGGTTGTTGTCCCACCTGGAGTGTCCCCAAATCCTCCAGGGACATCCCCAAAAAGCCCAAAACCCAGAAACCCCAAAACCAAAAAACCCAAAAACTCCAAAACCAAAAAAATCCAAAACCCCAAAACCTCAAAACCAAAAACCCCCAAACCCAGAAACCCCCAAAAAACCAAAACCCCCAAACCCCCAAAACCCAAAAACCCCAAAAACCTCAAAACCCCAAAAAACCCAAAACCCCAAATGCTCGTGGAGAGACAGCGACAAAGGGACAGAGCTGGGGGTTGGCACCACCCTCAGGGTGACGCCCCCAAAGGTTTGGGGTGGCCCCACAGGGGGACAAGGGACATCCGGCTGTCCCCTGTCCCCTTCCTTCCGGCCCTTTGTGGGTTGTTTGTGCCGGACGCCGGTCCCCGCCGCCTTGGTGGACTTGGGGACATCCGGCCGGACACGCCACTTCCGCCACTGTCCCCTCCCGGGGGCCACCAGGTGCGTCCCCAAGCTGTGGTGGCGTCTGGGGACAGAGATGTCCCCAAAGCGGGTGACATCCCCAAAGCCGGGGAGGTGTGGCAGCTGGGGTGGCACCATGTCCTCAGAGGGACAGGAAATGCTCGGCCAGGGAGGGGCTTTGGGCAAATAAAGGCGGGCAGGATCAAAAGAAATGAAAATAAATAAAATTAAATAAAACGAACATAAATAAAAATCGACACAGAGAGCATGGCCCCAGGGACACGGGACTGGGAGTGGTGGTGTGGGGACAGGGATGGGGACAGGGGAGAGGGATGGGGAGAGGGATGGGGACACAGGGGCCAGGAGATACAGATGGGGACAGGGACAGGAGACAGGGACAGAGACGGGGACACAGGGGACAGGGATGGGGACACAGGGGACAGAGGACAGGGATGGGGAGAGGGACGGGGACAAGGAAGGGGTTAGGGACAGGGGACAGAGATAGAGACAGGGCACAGGGACAGAACTGTCCCCAAAGCCACTGTCCCAACCCTTCCCATGAGAACGCTGTGACATTCCCACCCCTCCCCCAGCAGGTGACACATCCCGGGCCATGCTGGCCGCACTGGGATGTCCCCAAGGTCCCCATCCAGTGCCACCACTCCGGGTTTTCCCGGTGCCACCTCCCGGTTAATCATTGGCCAGACCGAAACCGCGCCGTGGCCCCGGTGTCACCTGGCAGTGTCACCTGGCAGTGTCCCCAAGCACTCTTGGGGTCCCTAAACCCCCTCCTGAAGTCACCACACGAAGTCCCCAAACCCCTCCTGGTGTCCCCACATCCCCCTTGAAGTCCCCAAATTCCCCTGAAGTCCCCTCCTGGTGTCCCCAAACCCCTTACCAGTGTCCCCAAATCCCCTAAATCCCCCAAATCCAACTCTTCCAACAATCCCAACCTGCCCAAACTCCCCAAATCCCAACAATCCCCAAAATCCCAACATTTCCAACAATCCAAACAATCCCAAAATTCCCCCAAATCCCAACAATCCCAAACTCCCAACAATCCCCAAAATCCCAACATTTCCAACAATCCGAAAACCTCAAAATCCAACATTTCCACCAATCCCAACAATCCCAAAAACCCAACAATCCCAACAATCCCAAAGCCCCAAACAACCCCAAATCCCGAACTTGCAGCTCTCACCCACTCCTCGACGTCAGGTCCCTGGGGCTCGGCGGGGATTTTATCCCAGTAAATGTTGTGTTTTCCGTATTTCCAGATCTTGCTGCGTGTTTTGTGCGCCAGGACGCAGATGAGGCACAGCAGGAGCACAGTCA